ATCGCCCCTCGAGGGGTCAAATCTAAGCGTACAGAGAATGGGATCCTCTTTTCAGAGAGATCGTGGCAAAACAATTAGACTCATTTTGTAGTGCAGACAACTATGGTCGTATGACGTTAATGTGTGCGGTCATTTTCAAGATTCTGGCATACAACCCCCAAGATATGCCAGGAGACTATATAATCCAGAACTGTGTCTTTAGCTGGTGTAACCACCAACAACTGCAATATCTTCCCAAACCCTCCTTCTCATTGACTGTATCAGACGTTGAATTTGATGGAGGTATTGCTTTCCGATCCTCCGATTGTGAAACCCGTGAAGATATATACCTTTTGTATTCCCTGAGGTTAAGTTAAAATAGTATAAATGTCCTTATTGCAATGGACAGGAGCAAGCAACCGAAGGTATCCAAACCTCAATTCATCTTACTATCATTGTGAAATGACCCTCAAGTTAAGTTAAAATAGTATAATATATGTCTCTATTGGCGTGGACAGCAGCTAGCAACAAAGGCTATCCAAACCTCAATTCAACTTACTATCATTATGAAATGACCCTCAAGGAATACTTAAATGGCAAATCTAAACCCAAAACGAACGAAGACCTTTATTCCATCCTGGATCAACATCACAATTAAAGTCAAGCTACACAGACTGTCAACTGGGCCACGACTGAACGTTTTGCAGCTATGTGAATGGTCTCTAGTAGTCAGTATCACAGTTCCTGAACCATATTATTATTTTCCCTACATCCCAGCCCTTCCTACAATGCTAAAGCCCTAAAAGAGGCAAGTCTAGATTTATCTAGGATCTCTGTTCTCCCTGGGGCTCCTTTCCAATATAAATGGGTTTATTTGTTAAATCAAAATTATTTATCTGTAGAGACTAGTCTAGGTCTCTAGCATATCCATGTGTAGTGACGGGTTTTTCATGGAGAACCGGTATGAATGTTACAACTAGTCTTTGAGTGCTCTACGAGTATATTACGAAAGGAAATCCAGGTACCTCCCACATACTAAGTGTCAGCGACATTGTAACGTTTAATACTTTTTCTGTGTTTTCAGTTGTTGTAACCTACTGGATGGGTGTTGTTACTATATTGGTCCTTCTTAACAAATTGCAATGCCCCTGTTCTTCTATAAAACTATTAACTCTGATGACGGATGGTCCAGTATATGTTTTCCCTCAAGGATCCACTGTAAATCTGATAATAACTGAGATTACCGCCACTCGCTCAGTTCCCCATTCACTCCCTGGCCTGCCACCTTTACTCGCCTTGAACACCACTTCCACATTAACAACCCCCACTGTGATAACCGTTGTTCCTTAACACACACACCACCACCACCACACCTCCATACCCTCACTATAATTTTTTCACACCACTCATAGCTTTTTTGTAAATTTATATATGTCTTTGTTGTGTATTCTCTCAGCTGTAACATACACCTGTGTGTGTATGTACGGTCAAAATAGTGGCGCCCCTGTCAGTCGTTCATTAATATATTTTGAAACTCAGTGTATGCTCTTGTATTTGAATATGATGTTAATGATATGTGTCATTATATTTGTATTGATTTGAATGGTATGTCGCGAGCGGATGCGATACGGAGAAAAGATCACACACAAGAAAGGAGAGCCCGTGTTTTGTTGAATGATAGAAAATTATCCATTTCATGTTGAGTTCCTGTAACTTTGTATTCCTGTTTCTGACACATTTACCACTCATGTATTACTTATTCAGAGGAAGATATTCATCTGCAGATGTGAAGATGTTATTTTTAGCTGACTTACCCTGATTATGTAAATCGTTGTGTTGTTATGTTAATTTAGAAAAAATGGGTTCGTAGTATCTTGGCATGTCCCAAATAAATTATCTTTGACGAAATACTAATAAATAAATATCATTCTTTTGTCGATATTTCTATCAGCATATATGAGTTATTCAATTTTGTGATTTTATCAATTTTTGAAGCAAAGTATCATTATTTATTATAGACATCAGCTTAACCTGTAATGTATATTTCACTGACGATCTCACAGGATTTATTGTGTCGCCGTTGCTGTAGTTGAATAAAGTGCTGTGGACCCACTTATTGACTTCCGTGTTTGAGTGAGTCAGTGAGATTAGAATCTGGTTTTAGTGAGTGAGTGAGTGAGTTTAGTTTTGCGCCTCACTCAGCAATATTCCAACTATATGATGGCGGTCTGTAAATAATCGAGTCTGGACCAGACAATCCAGTGATCAACAGCATGAGCATCGATCTGCGCAATTGGGAACCGATGACATGTGTCACCCAAGCAAGCGAGCCTCACCCGATCCCGTTAGTCGCCTCTTACGACAAGCATGGGTTACTGAAGGTTCATTCTAACCCGGACCTTCACGGGTCGAATCTGGTTTTAGACTTATTTGCGACACACCATGAGAACGTTCAGATGTTGTTCAGATTGTTGTCGTTTGAACAGAAGATTGAGTGAGTGAGCACCCGATCTCGTTAGTCGCCTCTTACGACAAGAATGGGTTACTGAAGATCAATTCTAACCCGGATCTTCACGGGTTTGAACAGAAGAGACTTTGCATAGCTAACACTAACGTAAAATCGTGGCAATCTATTAGACATCGTTCAAACTTAAATCGTTTGAATCGAGGACTGTGTCTCAATGTTTTAATGGTGTTCGCGAAAAGGTGAGCGTATCCTGCCTCAAATAGACGGACAGGCGTGTTAGTTGTCAACCAGACAAAACCAATGACATGTGTCGCAAAACAAAACAGGAAATACGACTATGGCGAAATCGGGATATCGTGCTCATGATAAATACACACATCACACATACACAACTGAAAAGAAGGTAAAGAACACCTGGTTCTTTGAATTTACTGTACTCAATCTGTCATGGCATTATACGAATGAATCGGATGTTCCTTAACTTGTTTTGAGTAATAATAATAATATAGATCATTTGTAATGCGCTTGACTCCACAACACTTGGCCATGCTTTAAGAGCAAACACAAGACAGTCAATAGCGAAGAAAAAGAAATGTCTTTAGATGAGATTTAAAACTTGAGGGAGTTGGAGCAGATTTAACGTCTGTAGGGAGAGAGTTCCACAAGAAAGCAGCTGAATGTTTGAAGGATCTATGTCCAAAAGTTATGAGTTTATATGGAGGCACAACAAGAAGTGATTGATCGGCAGATCTGAGATTCCTCGGTGGGACGTAGGGTGAGACAAGGGCTTGGAGATAGAGTGGAGCAGTTCCATTTAGTGCTTGATAAGTTAGAGTTACAATCTTAAACTCTATTTTTTCTCTGATTCTCGACCAGTGGAGGGACTTCAATGCAGGCTGGATATGACTTGATAGTTTTGTGCGCGTGGTAATCCTGGCGGCGGTGATCTGCAGCTTCTGCAGTCTGTGAAGTTGGTCATTGGTAATACCAATCAAGAGGCCATTGCAGTAGTCTAACCGCGACAATACTAGGGATCTCATTAGTGTGGCTGTGGTGTTTCTGGTGAGGAGGTGACGGATAGAACCAATGTTTCTGAGGTGTTGGTGGCAGATCTTTGATAGAAGGTTAATATGCTGTTCCATGGATAGATTCTCGTCTAAAAAACACACCTAGGTGTTTAACACTATGACAAACAGGAATTTCTACATCATCGATCTGGAGATGATCGATACCACCTTTCTGCAATCTGGATTTAGAAGCAGTAATCATGAGTTCGGTTTTTACTGAAGTAACATGTAGCAGTATATACAAGGCACACACACAGGAGAAAGACGTCCTTGGTGAATGTGGCCCCCCGGTTTATCATGGCAACGTTTATTTCATCACATTTGGGCCTTGGAATTTCAGTGTTGTTTTATCAGGAACAGGTTCTGTATGGACCCAGAATGGTCATTAAATCCAGGCAGCTGTGAAGTGTCCAGAATGGGGTAGCTGTTGTAACACACTTATAACACCAATATTGATGAATCTCCATTGGTTCCCAGTACAAGCTGGAATCAAGTTCAAAGTTTAATCACTGACATACAGCTGTTTCCATGACGTTTCATCAGCACATCGAAAGATCTTCTCCAGAAATATACTTCAAGCACAAATCTGAGATCCAATGATAAACCTCTAACCATTCCCAATATCAATCTCAAATCCATCGGCCAGAAATCATTCTCATTCTGTGTACCTTCTCACTGGATCTCACTTCCTATTGATATCAAAACCTCCCCACCTTTAGCTGTCTTCAAGTCCAAACTTAAAACCATCTCTCCTCCAAATACTGCCTGTGAGACCTGCGCTTTGAGCAACCGCAAGGAATTGAAAATAGCGCATAACAAATGCACTTCAAGATAACTGGCTGTTTAGCCTCCAGTGCAGGTTCTGATATTCATGTGTCCGAACTTTGTCTCTACTTTGGCAAGTCTACATTTCAGTTCCTGTCTAAACATGAAGAATTGTATTTAGAATATAGAGTAACTATGTACAACATCACGACTAACTAAAGGGTTTGTCAAACGTAGTTGGTAACGCGAGCGCTGCAGATTATGACGACATCTGTACTTTCGTGTATAACTTTCACAACAATCATTAAGCCCAGGGCGTTCAGGACTTAGTGTCAACTGGACAAATCCTTCTGATTATCATGACGTTTTGCGGCGAATTTACGTTTTAAACAGAAACACATTTACTCTCTTAGCTTTGCAAAAACTAATAGAACCGTCTACTTGACAGAAACACCGTTTTGTATATTTGGACCCAGTGCCGTATCGCCTCCTTTTCAAACCGCCGTCGGGGCGGTGGTGTAGCCTAGTGGTTAAACCGTTTGCTCGTCACGCCGAAGACCCGGTTTCGATTCCCCACATGGGTACAATGTGTCAAGCCCATTTCTGGTGTCCCCCGCTGTGACATTGCTGGAATATTGCTAAAAGCGGCGTAAAACTAAACTCACTCACTCACTTGAAGACGCTGCTGTGGTGTATATCGGACATCTATGTAGCACACTGTATTCAAGACGACACCGTTTATTGTCTGAATTACGTTGCAGCACACTGTAGTGATTGTACTTCTATTACATCGCGAAACGACCACATTCTGCATTTGAATTCGCATTTTGATAAACCTGCGTCAACGCATGCGCAGAAGTCGATATCCGGTCACTGAATATACTGACATAAGTGTGGCAACTATGTCATGTAGTCCCCTTGTCGTCTTGGAACATCTGCTTGCTTAAAATACAGTCCAGAACAAAACTTAAACGTGTATTCCACACACATCATCTATGACATTTAACAAGCACCGTAATCTTTACGTCGTAGTGCATCCATATGGCCTCTGACGTCGCAGCACAGAACATACGGCTCGTTCATGTGCCTTTGTCTTTACGACATCAAAACGTGTGTTCGACAGTCATGGTCGTTGCCAAGCATGGGCAGCTCTACTCGCGGGTTGTATTTCTTCGAAATCATCTTTCAAAAGTCAGCAGTTCGACATTTTCACGATAAAAGGTGCGCCCGAGTCTGGAACCCGACGGGGGATTGCTGGAAAGAACCTTAAATGACAAACTGACCGTTCTCCAGACAAAGAGGTAAGTGAGGCTCTACGGACGCTTGTGTAGAAGATTGTCCCCTTGTCTTGTTCTCAAGTGCGGCACAAAGTAGTCCCCGAAAGTACACTTCTTTAGCACGCATATTCATAAGTTCATTTTCCCTGACTTCCTGTTCTTCACTGACTGTAACACTTGATATTTCCATCTGTGTGACCCTGGCCTCAAGTTCTTGTGACCGTTTGTACATGTCTATCATTTCTTCTTCCTGTACTGAGCACTTCCGGGTTAAAGGGGGCGTGTCTGGGGATACAGGAAAGGCATATGATTAGTCGAGCTGTAGTGAAAGGTCGAGCTATCTCCCATTTGACATACACCCATTTGACAGACACCCAATTGACAGACACTGAACTAGAAGGTTAATTAGGGTAACGCCTATGGGTATAATGGAACAGTCCACTGTCTAGTGAGTGGAGCAGGGTGAGCCTGAAACAGGTTCGTTACTGAAAAGTTTGATTGTGGGTAAATAGAACTTTGTTGTGATTGAATGATAAATGATTTCTCTTCTCAAAATTGATTTTACTATCAATTACTATCGAATGACAAAACAGGTATGTCAATGAGAGGTTTGATTGTGTTTATTGATAGAAAAAAAAACTCCCAATAATAGCATATGTACAACAGAAACTAACTGAGAAAACGGTTTGTTGGAGAGATATAGATATATTCATATTTGAAAACATTCTGATTTGCAGTAAATTAGACACCTGCATTGCCATGTAAGATACGATTAATACCAATCAGTGTTCTAATTTCAACAATACTTTCTAAAGATTGTAACAGTTTATGTCTTTGAGTAGTATACAATGGACATTCAGAAAGTAATGAAAAACATTCTCGCATCCATCGCCACATTCACATGATGCGTCATATTTTAAATATTTATTCTAAATAAATCGTAATTAAGTGCATTCGTCATAGATCTTAATATTGTGTGCAATATTTCATATGAATAATATTTAGGTTCAAATTTGCCTTTATATGATTTATATGATACAATAGTGTCGCAATTTCTAATAGCTAAGCTAATGTTTTCAATATGATGATGCCGACTCCCATTAGACTAGAAGGTTAAACCGAAATGTTTATGACAATAAACTGTTTTATATTACAGCAATTAAAATTAAAATTACTGTCTTTTCGTCCATCTTTCAAAATAAATAATATAGCTTCAGTTTATTCCTGTGTTTCTATTTGGACTATTCCATTATAATGTGTAGGTAACAGGTAGTAGATAATCTGTTCACCAAACCGTAAATGTCTTTGTTTGCTTCCACCATACGGTTTATTTGTTTTCAGCAAATTGAAATTCGCAAAAGACCCTTTTTATAATTACACCACATATCTGTCAGTTAAAAAATAAGTTGTTAATACTGACCTTTAACCCTAACCTCCTCTTCGCCAAAATACAGAGTATCGACGCCAAGCTTAAGGAGTTGTCTCCCTTCATCGGAGGTCGCCATGTTCTTGAGCGTTTGAGCACAAAACGAGTGGATCATCAGTGTGACAAGCAGGCTGTTAGAAGGTTCAAGGCCACTCACAAACACGAACTCTGGTGGGATGAACAACAGTCGGGCGACACTGGCTCGGATGTCCTCCAGCTCACGTCTCTGGAAGTTGTCAAGGTCACCCTCAACGTGGAACTTGACGTTTTCGTATCCTGATTCTGCAGTGTCATTAGGAGTCAGTGAGTGTTGGGCGATTATGCAAACGGATACGGTGAGTTTAGTTTTAGGCCGCTTTTAGCATTATTTCAGCAATATCACGGCGGGGAAACAAGAAATGGGCTTCAGACATTGTACCCATGTGGGGAATCGAACCCGGGTCTTCGGCGTGACGAGCGAACGCTTTAACCACAAAGCTACCTCACTGCCCCCATACTCTAACTTATGGAATCAGGTGGTCCCTGGTTGATGCATGCCATTATATTCCAGTTACATGCATCGATGCTTATATCAATCACTGGATTGCCTGTACATAATTATTTACAGACTGCCGTCATGTAGTTGCAACACTGCCGAACGACGCAGAAACATTCACTCACTAGTATATCACTCACTCACTCTTACCTGGCTGTCCATCAGGTGAGAAGAAGTGAAGGACACTCCCCACCTTCCGTGCGTAGTCACTAGCCAGCTGGTGAAGGTCAAGGCGCCCCACGTGCCATAGGAACGTTTGCAACAGAAGCAGGTTGTCACGTGACAGCATCCGGCGTTCTCTCAGATATGTAAAGAACTTCTGGGGGGTTGACAGTCTTTCCAGCACGCCCTGCGGGATTCCTCTCTGACCTGTCATTGATAAAAGCAACCATACTTACATCAAAAGCAATGCACACGACATTTAAAGATGACGGGAGCACAGGCCCTCGTGTCTACAAATGCGAGGATTTAAAAAAAGAAAGAACCGTGAGATGACCCCCGCTTTGAAATGCTTCCCAGTACATAAATCATGATTCGAGTCGGGGGTTATCTCAACATTTTTCATATTTTTTAGAATCTTTAATCCTAGTAAAGACACCAGGGCCTGTGAACGGGAGGTGGGTTTTGACGTGAAGACTGACCACGTAAAAGCGCATGTGTGTATGTTTGTACTTGTCCGGACTTTTATCGGTGTTTAGTACTAGCCATCCGAGATATCACACCGCAGATAAGATGGAGTTATAGTTACGCCGCTTTTATCCAATTTTCCAGCAACATCACTGTGGGGTACACCATAAATGGGCTTCATACATTGTACCCATGTGGGGAATCGAACCTGGGTCTTCGGTAAGACAAGCGAACGTTTTAACCACTTGGCAATCCCACCGCTCCAGTTATAAGATGGACCTACTGACACTGGGCCAGTTCTTATCTTATAACCATTATATCTTGCTCCAGGCCGGCCGAGTATCAACAAGTACCGTCCCTCATCATATTTTGGTATGATGGAACTGTCTAGATTCGCTGTACAGGTATAAGCTCTATTTGTTAGACCATGGGGCAATACATTTTCACGAAAATAGAGACGATTGGTAATAGACAGATGGTACTGGTCGGTTTGGATTGGTAATACACAGATGGTACTGGTCGGTTCGGATTGGTAATAGACAGATGGTACAGGTCGGTTCGGATTGGTAATATACAGATGGTACTGGTCGGTTCGGATTGGTAATATACAGATGGTACTGGTCGGTTCGGATTGGTAATATACAGATGGTACTGGTCGGTTCGGATTGGTAATATACAGATGGTACTGGTCGGTTCGAAGTGAGCATACTTTGCGAAGGATCAAATCATGGATTCAACAGAAAACTATGATGTGGGGTCAAATTTAGTTTAAATATCTAAGCTTATTGTAAGCATGGATCTCAGGTTTCAGTATGTCATTTCATCTTGTGGAACCCATACCTGCTATTGACAGGTGTTGTTTATTTGTCAATGACTCGTTCCATGATTTACAAAATGGTTGATTAGTGCAGCACGTTCATTCGTTTATAAAAAAACTTGAGAGACGCCAGATTGTTTCATTATCCCGGGGCCAGTTAAACCAGACCATATGCCTGGCATCCACACTATATTCAACCTGAGTCAACTAAGCATAAACCTAAATAAAAACATAACACACAATGGCTGCCAGGGGTGAGTGAGTGAGTTAAGTTTTAAGCCGCACTCAGCAATATTCCAGCTATATGGCGGCGGTCTGTAAATAATCGAGTCTGGACCAAACAGATGTGATCAACAGCATGAGCATCGATATGCGCAATTGGGAACCGATGACGTGTCAACCAAGCCAGCGAACCTGACCACCCGATCCCGAGCTGCCAAGAGATGATTTAAACGTAACATTCACGTTTATTGGTGTATACCACTTATCTATGAGATGTTAACAAGTGCTTCATTTACTGAGAAAGCTTCCACTGTACCTCGCCTTTCAACACATTAAACGACAGACTGTTCAAAATATCGAGCAAAACATCTTAGGTGCATACGTTGGTTCTAAGCTTTTATATAGTCGAGAGTTAAATATCCTTGTCGGAAATAAAAATATACACTCTTATCATGGAGTTAATTATATGAATTAAAATGATTTTATTCATAACTGAATCAAATCAGCTTCAACGATTACCTTAGTTTGAGTGTTTTGACCAGAGTACAGCACAGAGCGCATGTACTGTTTTGACCAGATGAAACGATTTTACAGGTGCTTCCCTCAGCAGACACGGAGTGCTGTCGTTATGTTCGACTATACGTATTGATTTATCTTCTTTATGTCGAGCAGGAATGTTCAGGAAAACGTTATGAATACCGTGATCCGTAGCTTTCTTAATACCCATCGCCTCTTGACATATACCAGCCACACGAAATCTAAATATATATTGGACGACAGTCTAACGATAAGAAGCATTACCTATACTTATATCTTGCAGTAAGACAAAAAATTAAGTGAAAAGTGGGCATTTAATGAGATATCTATTTCGCTCGTTACGATCGCCATTGACTTGGTCGCGCGCTTAGGGTGCGGGTAGGAAGGATACGAGTGAGTGAGTATGGTTTTATGCCGCTTTTAGCAATATTCCAACAATATCGCGGAGGGGAACACCAGAAATGGGTTTCACGCATTGTACCCATAAAGGGAATCGAACCCGGGTCTTCTGTGTGACGAGCGAACGCTTTAACCACTACGCTACCCCATCGCTCCTATAGGGATAGGAAGTTATTAGTGACCGCGGAACATTATATAGATAAATATTAACAACAAACAAAATCAGATGAATATTAGTTGGGGAAAGTCGGATAAATGTTAGTTGGAGAACGGTGTTCATGATGAAAGCCTCCAATAGTCTGAAAATTGAACAGAAGCTCACCCTCACCCAATTTTAACCAATAATCACCCTCCAATACGTTTCAACCAATGTTCATTCGCCAGCACTTTTCAACCAGTGTTGACCCTCCAGTACTTTTCAACCAATGTTCATCCTCCAATTCATTACAACCAATGTTCACTCTCCAGTCCTTTTAAACCAATGTTCACCCTCCAGTACTTTTCAACCAATGTTCACCATCCAGTACTTTTCAACCAATGTTGACCCTCCAATACTTTTCAACCAATGTTCACCCTCCAATACTTTTCAACCAATGTTCACCCTCCAGTACTTTTCAACCAATGTTCACCCTCCAGTACTTTTCAACCAATGTTGACCATCCAGTACTTTTCACCAATGTTCACCCTCCAGTACTTTTCAACCAATGTTCACCCTTCAGTACTTTTTAACCAATGTTCACCCTCCAATACCTTTCAACCAATGTTCACTTTTCAGTACTTTTCAACCAATGTTCACTTTTCAGTACTTTTCAACCAATGTTCACCCTCCAATACTTTTCAACCAATGTTCACCCTCCAGTACTTTTCAACCAATGTTCACCCTCCAATACTTTTCAACCAATGTTCACCCTCCAATACTTTTCAACCAATGTTCACCCTCCAGTACTTTTCAACCAAAGTTCACCCTCCAGTACTTTTTAACCAATGTTCCCCCTTCAATACGTTTCAACTAATGTTCACTTTTCAGTACTTTTCAACCAATGTTCACCCTCCAGTACTTTTCAACCAACGTTCACCCTCCAATACTTTTCAACCAATGTTCACCCTCCAGTACTTTTCAACCAATGTTCACCCTCCAGTACTTTTCACCAATGTTCACCCTCCAGTACTTTTGACCAGTGTTCACCATCCAGTACTTTTCAACCAATGTTCACCCTCCAGTATTTTTCAACCAATGTTCACCCTCCAATACTTTTCAACCAATGTTCACCATCCAGTACTTTTCAACCAATGTTCATCCTCCAGTACTTTTCAACTAATGTTCACCCTCCAGTACTTTTCAACCAATGTTCACCCTCCAATACCTTTCAACCAATGTTCACCCTCCAGTACTTTTCAACCAATGTTCATCCTCCAGTACTTTTCAACTAATGTTCACCCTCCAGTACTTTTCAACCAATGTTCACCATCCAGTACTTTTCAACCAATGTTCACCCTCCAGTACTTTTCAACCAATGTTCACCCTCCAGTACTTTTCACCAATGTTCACCCTCCAGTACTTTTGACCAGTGTTCACCATCCAGTACTTTTCAACCAATGTTCACCCTCCAGTATTTTTCAACCAATGTTCACCCTCCAATACTTTTCAACCAATGTTCACCATCCAGTACTTTTCAACCAATGTTCATCCTCCAGTACTTTTCAACTAATGTTCACCCTCCAGTACTTTTCAACCAATGTTCACCCTCCAATACCTTTCAACCAATGTTCACCCTCCAGTACTTTTCAACCAATGTTCATCCTCCAGTACTTTTCAACTAATGTTCACCCTCCAGTACTTTTCAACCAATGTTCACCATCCAGTACTTTTCAACCAATGTTCATCCTCCAGTACTTTTCAACTAATGTTCACCCTCCAGTACTTTTCAACTAATGTTTACTCTGCAATACCTTTCAACCAATGTTCACCCGCCAATACCCTCCAGTGCGTAGAAAAGAATCTTTTCTTTAAAAAAATTAATGGTATGCATTCCGTTTGAATTCGAAGTTATTATATTGAATGCACATCATCGCAGAGGAACTAAAAAATTAGTAACCAAAATATTAAAAAACCACCCTCCAATGCCTGTGCACGCGCATGTCAAATAACATTAATTTTGCACGTTTCTGAAAATTGGGCTTTGTTAAAGTTTGGACGTGGTAATAAATATTGCGACTGTTTCACGTGGGACTCGTTGTTTAACACATGGGCTCGATCCAGCCCCGCGTGCAAAATTAGTCGCGACTTTTCGGACTATATAATGTGCACAAGTGAAGCCAAAGAACAAGCCGCACGTGCGAAAGACACAGGGAACATATTTCACGTGCATCACGAAGTGGTGAATGTTGGCCTTGGTTTGAATTGGTTAGATGAAGAGCACAAGGACTCCTGCGACTCTTCTTTGCGTGAGTGAGCGAGTATGGTTTTACGCCGCTTCTAACAATATTCCAGCAATATCACGGCGGGGGACACCAGAAATGGGCTTCACGCATTGTACCCATGTGGGGGATCGAACCTGGGTCTTCAGGGTGAAGAACGGACGCTTTAACGATTACTGTGAGACGAACTTAAGAATAATGCCGACCTGTCATTTGAACCCGTGAATCTGAATAGCGGTGCAGTCTATTTTACCATTAAGGGGCCGAGGGTATGTAAAGCGTGTGTGTGCTGTCGGAAATAGTACACGTACTGAATGACATTGAAGGCAACCTCACGTGTTTGTGAATGAATGACTTGACCCCGTTTACCCAATTTAGAGTGCGAGATGATAAGTTTCAAATACCTGCAGAGTTTAATACTCTTTTAACAGTCCTATTCTCAAGCACGACGTAAAACCCAATTTCACCTCACCTCACTTTACAAGATACTAGTATACAAATGCTCGAGCAGAAACACGACGCTTCCGAATCACTGCATAGAAAGTGAATACTGCTAGGATCACAACAATCACATGCGCAAAGTTTTCACACCTGTTCCCCCTTCGAGTGGGTAGTGGATCAGTTCACGGCACGCTCCCCACTCTCCTTTCACAAACGCATGTTTCGCGCACCTCATTCTAATGTTGGTTGGACAGTAGGCTGCCCCACCGCCCCGTCTATTCTTTGAAATACATATATACTGAACTGCCAAAGAAACGCAAGTTACTATTTTCAAAACATACGCCCCAAATGCATTCCTTTTAGGACAACAAAATATACCATTATAGAACCAAGCATTCGAAGATGGTTTTGCCGTTGTTGCCGCTTATTCTTGACCATATCGCCCAAACGCAATCATTTTCATGTTTTTTGCATGAAGTTTTTGGTGTTTCACACAAAAATGCGTGCATTTCAGTCCAGTTTGAAGCTTTATAAGGCTAGGTCATTCAAAAAACACCATAGAACACAAAATTGACTGTGACAACGCGGAGAAAACATGCCACGTCTAACTGAAGAGCAACGAGGAATCGCCGTTGGAATGTTGCAGACCGGATCCACACCAACTGCAGTGGCCAGGCACTTCAGATGTCACGTGACAACAACAAGACTATCCGCAAGGTATCGTCAAACCGGTAATGTTCGAGACCGACCACGTTCAGGACGTCCCAGGGTAACAACGCCAGCGCAAGATCGTCACATCCGGGTTACTCATCTGCGTAACCGACAGCAACGAGCAACACAGACAGCTGCAACCATTCAACGGCCACAACGTCACATCTCTGCAGACACTGTTCGTCGTCGTCTGAGGGCAGCAGGGATCAGATGTCGCCGTCCTTACGTCGGACCGATTCTGACGCAACGTCACCGCCAAAATCGTTTACAGTGGGCGCGACAACACCAGCGGTGGCGACGTCAACAATGGCAATAAGTGTTGTTTTCTGATGAGTCCAGATTCAACTTGTCCCACCCCGATGGCCTATTACGTGTATGGAGACGACGTAATGAACGTTACGCCAACTGTTGTGTTGTGGAAGCTGACCGCTGGGGAGGTGGAAGTCTCATGGTATGGGGTGGCTTCAGCTACCACCACAGAACACGTTTACACGTGTTTCGTCAACGTGTGACTGCTGTAGTCTACAGAGATCAGGTCCTTCAACACCACGTTGTACCGCTATTCAAGGCCCAACCTCAGCTCCAGCATTCTCTTCCCACAGAGGTTACTCCTGTCATATCTTCCTACATAACCTCTGTTCTAATACGACCCTTTCTTGGTGTCAGCGTTCAAGGCTCGTGATTGGAGACAAGCCGATTTAGTTGTGCAATCAGCGACGTTGTTTCAAAAGTGATCATTCGCAAGGCCTCGGTAATTTCCGTATGCTTCGGGAAAACTAGAACCTCTTCCCGAGCGCGATGCGCAAACGTTTCTTCTAGACAGAACTCAGTCATGTAATGGCGTATCAATGGCGTGTCCATCGCCCTCGTTGACAACGGACAAGCTAGCCATTAAACGTCTTGTGTGTAACATCAACACAATTCCCCGGCAGATGGGGGATATTTGTGGCCCCGCATTTGCTTGTGTTAGTCAAATTGAATCTAAGTCGATGTAACACGTGTTCTGATTGGATAGAAATAAGGGAGATAATTCGTGTTGCGATCTTTTGCCGCTAGGGGATTTTACGAGGACCGGGAAATATGGCCGTATTAGAACAGAGGTTATGTAGGAAGATATGACAGGAGTAACCTCTGTGGGAAGAGAATGCAGCTCCAGACGTTCCAGCAGGACAATGCTCGTCCTCACACTGCACGGGTCTCTATGGACTTCCTCAGAGGGAACAACATTGCTGTACTGCCCTGGCCCTCTCTGTCCCCGGATATGGCACCAATCGAGCATGTGTGGGATGAAATTGGTAGACGGATACAGACACCTGCTCAACCTCAAAACCTTAGAGATTTGGAAGCCTGATTGGTCAGGGAATGGAATCAAATTCCCCAAGCCTTCTTTCAGACACTTGTTGACTCGATGAGACGTCGTTGTGCTGCCTGCATTGCAGCCAATGGTGGTCACACGCGCTACTGATTGACACACTGTTTCGTGACGCTTCCGAATCACTGCATAGAAAGTGAATACTGCTAGGATCACAACAATCACATGCGCAAAGTTTTCACACCTGTTCCCCCTTCGAGTGGGTAGTGGATCAGTTCACGGCACGCTCCCCACTCTCCTTTCACAAACGCATGTTTCGCGCACCTCATTCTAATGTTGGTTGGACAGTAGGCTGCCCCACCGCCCCGTCTATTCTTTGAAATACATATATACTGAACTGCCAAAGAAACGCAAGTTACTATTTTCAAAACATACGCCCCAAATGCATTCCTTTTAGGACAACAAAATATACCATTATAGAACCAAGCATTCGAAGATGGTTTTGCCGTTGTTGCCGCTTATTCTTGACCATATCGCCCAAACGCAATCATTTTCATGTTTTTTGCATGAAGTTTTTGGTGTTTCACACAAAATGCGTGCATTTCAGTCCAGTTTGAAGCTTTATAAGGCTAGGTCATTCAAAAACACCATAGAACACAAAATTGACTGTGACAACGCGGAGAAAAAACATGCCACGTCTAACTGAAGAGCAACGAGGAATCGCCGTTGGAATGTTGCAGACCGGATCCACACCAACTGCAGTGGCCAGGCACTTCAGATGTCACGTGACAACAACAAGACTATCCGCAAGGTATCGTCAAACCGGTAATGTTCGAGACCGACCACGTTCAGGACATCCCAGGGTAACAACGCCAGCGCAAGATCGTCACATCCGGGTTACTCATCTGCGTAACCGACAGCAACGAGCAACACAGACAGCTGCAACCATTCAACGGCCACAACGTCACATCTCTGCAGACACTGTTCGTCGTCGTCTGAGGGCAGCAGGGATCAGATGTCGCCGTCCTTACGTCGGACCGATTCTGACGCAACGTCACCGCCAAAATCGTTTACAGTGGGCGCGACAACACCAGCGGTGGCGACGTCAACAATGGCAATAAGTGTTGTTTTCTGATGAGTCCAGATTCAACTTGTCCCACCCCGATGGCCTATTACGTGTATGGAGACGACGTAATGAACGTTACGCCAACTGTTGTGTTGTGGAAGCTGACCGCTGGGGAGGTGGAAGTCTCATGGTATGGGGTGGCTTCAGCTACCACCACAGAACACGTTTACACGTGTTTCGTCAACGTGTGACTGCTGTAGTCTACAGAGATCAGGTCCTTCAACACCACGTTGTACCGCTATTCAAGGCCCAACCTCAGCTCCAGACGTTCCAGCAGGACAATGCTCGTCCTCACACTGCACGGGTCTCTATGGACTTCCTCAGAGGGAACAACATTGCTGTACTGCCCTGGCCCTCTCTGTCCCCGGATATGGCACCAATCGAGCATGTGTGGGATGAAATTGGTAGACGGATACAGACACCTGCTCAACCTCAAAACCTTAGAGATTTGGAAGCCTGATTGGTCAGGGAATGGAATCAAATTCCCCAAGCCTTCTTTCAGACACTTGTTGACTCGATGAGACGTCGTTGTGCTGCCTGCATTGCAGCCAATGGTGGTCACACGCGCTACTGATTGACACACTGTTTCGTGACATTTTTGGTGTGTGAGGGTGGAGTGATAACATATGCTTTTACAGTAAACTTGAGTGTTTTTTTCACCAGAGATCACGACTCATTTCTTCAACAATACCTTGTCTGTTGTTTTATCGTAGTGTTAAGATTGTTTGTTCCACAGATTCAGAAATATTGACATTTCTCAATCAACTTCTGTTTCTTTTGCGGTTCAGTATAGTTAGTTATAACATATTAATAACTAACTGACCACTTCTGTAAACAACGGGTCTTCACACTCTGTCCTTTAGTAATTTACATGTAAGGGTTGACAAAGTGAGTGAGTGAGTTTAGTTTTACACCGCACTCAGCAATATTCCAGCTATATGGCGGCGGTCTGTTAATAATCGAGTCTGGACCAGACAGTCCAGTGATCAACAGCATGAGCATGGATCTGCGCAATTGGGAACCGATGACATGTGTCAACCAAGTCAACGAGTCTGACCACCCGATCCCGTTAATCGCCTCTTACGACAAGCATAGTCGCCTTTTGTGGCAAGCATGGGTTGCTGAAGACCTATTCTACCCCGGATCTTCACGGGTGCAAAAGCCATGAGGCGTTAGGAAGGATCTGGTCTTGACTGTTTGATGCCCGGCTCATCGCCGGTGTCGCTAGATGTATGACAGTTTCATTATTACATAACCTATTATCTACCTGAGCAAAGGAACTTCATGGACTGGAAATCATCGTCGTCCAGTTCACGGCCTATCCTCAGCATGAGGATATTCAGCTCCCAGTCTGCCGAGGGCAACTCCATCGTCGTCTTCGTCGTCAAAATTCACCACATGATGTAGTTGGTGGAAGTGACAGCGTTGTAGATCAATCATGGGCTGCTCAATGTGTTCACAGTCTGAAAGATACCAACGAAGTTCTCTACAAATGAGTATACATGAATAAATGTGTGAATATGTTTGATTTAATGTCACTCTAAACAGTACGTCATATACGTCATTCAGCGTCACATTGACGAAGGAGGGCAGACCAAAGTGACGTAGGGGTCAAGTGTCTACCTACTTTGATGCACTATTAAATGGCACCCCGTCATAGTCAAAAGGGGCGGTGGGGTGGCATAGTGGTTAAAGCGTTTGCTCGTCACGCCGAAGACCGGGTTCGATTCCTCACATCTGTACAGTGTGTGAAGCCCATTCCTGGCCGTGATATTGCTGGAATATTGCTAAAAGCGGCGTAAAACCATACTCACTCACTCACTCAAAGCCAGAGACTTATCTCGGTTTGGGAGTGAAGTTCAAAATAGTCATCTCGACGAGGGAGATTGAATACACAACAATAAAACAACCAATACACAATACGTGAATACCTGTCCGACATTGCAACACTGTGATAAAGGACTTTATCGATCTCGGTACACAAGCATTTTGAATATTTCTAAACTCTATACAAGCGGACCTTTTTACAATTACACTATACGTATGACGTATATGCAAACAATTGCTCCTTTAACGGTTGCAGATAGACCAGATGTTTGGGCATAAACAACAAAACGTACTTCACAATGTACTGAACACGATAACATGTGTCGACCAAGTCAGTGAGCCTGACCACCCGATCCCGTTAGTCACCTCTTACGATAACCATGGGTTGCTGAAGATCGAGTTCACGGGACACGAAACAAGGGGAAACTCCGAACAGTTATGTGTCGCATGCTTAATAACGTTAACGTAACCACATGTTAAGTAAATAGAGAATACTAAACGATGTCCCGTGTAATACCATATTTATGAAACGAGTGAATGGTTTGGTATCTAACGAGCGAAAGCGAATTAGATACCAATACCATTCACGAGTTATAAAGAGTTATCCGGTTGTTTTTAACGTGATCTGTTTCATGAAGCTGTTAATAATCTCTACTTCAGATAATAAACAAAGGAAATCACTAAACACGCAGTTAGGTGATATATTCCTTAACAAATTGTAAAATATAGAATGATCCGGCAGCGTGTTTTAAGGTGACCTATTTCAGTACTCACTGGCTCTGTTCAGTTATCTTCAGCGAAGAGACGTGTCTCGAATAATACAGCGAGAAAGTAGGTCGATGACAATGCTATTGCAATATAGTGTTGTCACCCGGGGTTGACTGTAATATGGTCTCAATATCAAGACAGTCTGGTAAATAATGTCACTGTGGAATGCTACCGTGACGACACACACTAGGGTTTGGGTGCGTGCGTGCGTGCGTGCGTGCGTGCGTAAGTGACCTTACTCTCGCGACGATTACGGCGCTTTCAGCATATTCCATTAATGGAGTGAACTAAAGATTCCGTATATACCTGTCGGAAGGGACGTCACAGTAGATCGGGTGGTCGCAGCTAGTTGATTGCATGTCATTTCCAGATTATTTCACAGTACGTCGTATTGGTGGAATACTGCGGCTTCAACAATCAGCCAAGACAGCACATTGTTTGATGTCCCCGGTTAGTCAAACAGCAAGGTAGATTGTTGTTTTGAGCTGTCTGTGTGATATGTCAGCTAGGATAGCACACTACCACAGTAACACACAGCTGTATATCCCCTACATCTGTCCTACACACACACTCTCTCTCTCTCTCTCTCTCTCTCTCTCTCTCTCTCTCTCTCTCTCTCTCTCTCTCTCTCTCACACTCACACACACACACACACACACACTCTTGACACACACAATGTGTACATGCAGTAAAAGCGAGTCCATAGGCCAGTTTAGCGCACCGATTAACACGTATAGATCCTACACAGCGAGGGGTACAGACAAACACACACACACACACAGACACACACACAGAGAGAGAGAGAGACACACACAGAGAGAGACACACACACACAGAGAGAGACACAGAGAGGGAGAGAGAATCACACACACACACATTGACACAAACAAACACATTGTTCTTACCTGTACATGCAATAAAAGCGAGTCCATAGCGCACCGATTAACATGTATATATCCTGCACAGCGATCGGTAGAACAAGCCAGGATGAACGGAAGTAGCCCAACCAGCTCACGTACACGGATATTTCTCAGTGTCAACACGGGCCAGTCAACACGGGCCAGTCAACACAACAGGACGTTCCTCGCACTGATCAAGTTTCGCCAACGGCTGAAGGTGCCTGTGCGCTACGCATGACTGCAGTCACGTGATGCTTCGTTAATTCTTCAGACATCGATATTTACATCGTCATTCATGAGTCACTGGGTTCATTTATGTTCAGCGTGTGTTCCACGCGCACATTAACCCTTTATGCCACATATACATTATATACAGCGCATGTTGAGCGACTGAGTCAGTCCTTGGCTGTCATACAGATCCTCAAACAAACATTCCCAATGCAGCCCATGCAAGTCTATAATATGTGGCAAATCTAGATTACCAGTTTCTGAAAATGAAGAAAGTCTTCGTGCTCTTTTTTATATTTAATTTAGGAACTGATATATCCGTGATGATGTTGATGTTTTCATTTGCCATTGTATCGGTAATACATTTGTTTGATCCGGGGTTCAAATCCAAGTTTCGCCCCATTACGAAGTCCTGCTCACTTGTTCCAAAAAAGTGGTTTGACAAGTTCAGCTTTTATCACTGAAAGGCAGGGAAGTAGAGGTGGCCCACTTGTCTTAGGTGCCGATTTCTCTGTACAGTCATGCCAGGTAACTGTGATCCTGGGTTCTAATCCCAGACACACCTGATTATGGTTTTCTAGGTTTAGGTTCGACAAGTTCAGCTTTTATCACTGAAAGGCAGCGGAGTATAGGTGGCCGAGTATACCTGGCGCTGACGGGGTTAAAATAGTAAATAACAAGGGTCAAGGGAAAACGCGGAATGTGACCCCAATCAAACCCGAATCGTTACCAGTCACGTCTATAGCCACGGGGCCATGGAAGCTTAGCCGAGCAAGCGTATTGTATATATACCAGTGTAATATCTGTGTAATTTACTTCCTTCTGTGTCGCGCCAACGTCAGCGTCAACGTCAACGCCTGTCGTCACAACAGCCCTCTTTACTACGCCATTTTACTTCCGATGATAACATTGAAGGAAGTATAGTTTATCCTTCTACCATGGACTGTGTGTTTCGTACATTGGGTTAAACACGTATTCCCCTATTCGTCAATGTGAAGTCGAAATCTCAAACATACCGTATATCCTTGAATAAACGTCGGATAGTACGAACCCCTGCATTGAGTTTACGAAGAGGTTGTACAAAATTGGTTCATATTTTCGTGTACAAAACGTTGACGAAGAGGTTGTACAAAATGTTGTGTTCATTGTTTCCTATCAATTAATGTCTGTACGAATTCATCCTGTGTACAGTATAAATTTCAAGTACTAAAAACACAAGGCACTGATTATAATCATTTATTAAAAATATAATAAACGCCTGCCTTGAGAAGCAAACGTTCGAAATCAAAAATGCATCTGGCGTTTCTTCAAGTATTTACGGTACGGCACATTCATTCCACATGAGCTCGAAAGAAATGATGAATAGAATAGTTTACAAGATTATGCTTGATCAGTTTGTAAATCTGCCCATATTGCACCCAAAACAATTAACATTCCCCACAGGGTTACAATGTCTGGAGCCCATTTCTGGGGTCCCTCGGGGGCGGTGGGGTAGTCAAGTGGTTATGGTGCTGGCTCGTCACGCCGAAGACCCGGGTTCGATTCCCCAGATGGACACAGTGTGTGAAGCCCATTTCTGGGATACCTCGCCGTGATATTGATTGAATATTGCTAAAAGCGGTGTAAAACGTACTCACTCACTCTTCATCGGGTTTGGATAACACACTCACTCACCGCCTGCATTACCATTGACCACGCGCTGCTGTAAAAATGGCCTTGAACTGTTCCACAGGGTTTCGCGCAAGCTTCTTTTACGTTAAGTGGCGGTGAGGTAGCCTTGTGGTTAAAGCGTTCGCTCGTCACGCTTAAGACCCGGGTTCGATTCTCCAAATGGGTACAATGTTAGAAGCCCATTTCTGGTGTCCCCCGCTGTGATATTGCTGGAATATCGCTAAAAGCGGTTTAAAACTAAACTCACTCACTCACTCTTTTATGTTAATTGAAAGAAAATAGAGATCAGGTTCAGTGACGTGACTGATTGCAGGTCAGCGTGTTCCGAATGAGAGGGCCGTTGCTCATACTGTCAACCACAGGTTTATTTCGACTTTTTACACCTGTGATATAAACCGATGTCAACTATTACACACTTGGTTTGGGGTGTACATTTTACACCTGTGATATAAACCGACGTAAACAATTACACACTTGGTTTGGGGTGTACATTTTTAAAAAAACAAACATCGAAAAGTGTGTTGATTGTGACTTGCAAATCACAAACATTGTGTATATGTTGCCAAAATGTATATACAATTATTTTCAGGTATGTATTTTGTATTTAGAAATTACTGAACGCATCCTCACACTAATAATATTTATGATCTGTGAAAAGTAATTGAACTCTTGACCTTAGCCTTGACCAAGAGACCTTCGATACTCACAATCGTCGAAAACCATTATTATGTGTTCAAAGGTCCTTGTATTAATGAATAAAATGATTCGATAAATACATGTACACAAGTTAACTTTATAGAATATCCATTGTCTAAAATCACTATGTATTTGTAACACAAGAAACTATCATTTATTCGTGTTTCGAAAAAATGTATCATGTGTTATATGTTCGATGAATTACTGTCTTAAACTACACGTTTCAACTGTTGTTATATACTTGTAATGCACTACATGTAACAGGTGGCGAGGTGAAATTGGGTTTAACGTCGTGCTTGAGAATATTTCGCTCATATGACGACGTGCATGCGTGTGTATGTGTATGTGCGGCTGCTTGTACTAGCCCAGCTGGTTTTATAGTGCTAGCCAACTGAGATACCATGCCGCAGTAAAGCATGAATACCCCACTCAGACACATTATACTGACTCCGAGCCGACCAGTCCTTGTTGTACCCATTAATGCCGAGCGCCAGGCAGGGGCCAACAAGTACTATTTTAACGTCTTTTGGTATGACGCGGTCGGGGATCGAACCCGCGACCTTCCACTCTCCGGGCGGACGCTCTAACCACTATACCACGGAGGCGGTCCATTACGTATAACAGACCTTGAGACACTTACAGTTGAATTTAAATGCTATTATTTAATACCTACTTATTTATTCACCTACTTAAACGTGACAGGCTGAAGGGCATATAGCACGCGTGTCTGTGAGAAGCATTATCCACAAAATGCGTCAAGAAGTGACGTTAACACTAAAATTATTACGGCAATGACGTCAATATGACGGGGTATTACTCAAAGCAGTAATTCGATGCTAGGATACCAGGGGAATGTAGTAGCACAGACATCAAAAGACTCCGCCTTCCGGAAAAAATAATGATGACATAGCGAACTACGAACTAGGGTTTTCCCACAACTACGCCTCGGCCGGAGATAGCTACTATGAAGGGATATGTTATACTGTCATACAGCAATCAACCAGGGAGGCCCACTACATACACAGATGGTTTTCCGTACTGACATATAGCCATAGGCAAATGGATTGTGCCTATCTTTTAGGATCCCACGTAAGGGGTTAATGTGTCATCTTGACGTTTCCAACCCTCTTAAAATTCCTTTCTTATCTGGAACTGGCCACAGATTGTCTATGTTACTATAGACAATGTTTTCCGCGACTGAAGGCCCAAAGCTTTAACACGATATGAAGATCATATTTATATATGATTATGTATTACCTTGTGAAGGAGGGCGGCGGGGTAGCCAAGTGGATAGAGCGTTCGTTCGTCACGCCGAAGACTTTGGTTCGATTCTCCACATGGGTACAATGTGTGACGGGGCGGTGGGGTGGCCTAGTGGTTAAAGCGTTCGCTCGTCACGCCAAAGATCCGGGTTCGATTCCCCACATGGGTACAATGTATGAAGCCGATTTCTTGTGTCCCCCGCCGTGATATTGCTGGGATATTGCTAAAAGCGGATTAAAACCATAGTTACTCGGTCTAGTGATCGGATATTTCTCAGATATGAGCAAACATTGTGGATATAGAACAAACTTTATGGATAACAACTTCTTTTAATTTGTGAGTGCGACGTTTCGATACAGATCCTTGTACCGTTGTCAAGCATTATATATTGTACTTCCCAACTTCTAAAATGCCACTCAAAGAAGTTAAACATTGTGGAGTTTTACGTTCAGAGTAAATTCTGTTTACACGTTGCGTGGTTAATTTTACGCTGGGTGAGCGAGTATGATTTTGCGCCGCTTTTAATGGATTATGACGGTCCTTGATAAAATGCTGGTTAATGTGAATGCAAGAAATTCTCCCCAATATTTTCTGATCGATTAAACTAACTTACTGACTGAGTTTGGTTTTACGCCGCTTTTACCAATATTCCAGCAACATCACGGCGGGGGACACCAAATATGGGCTTCACACATTGTACCCATGTGGGGATTCGAACCCGGGTCTTCGGCGTGACGAGCCAACGCTTTAACCACTAGGCTACCCCACCGCCCCTGATCGATTAAAAGCCGAGGAAGAGTCGGAATGATTTGGTTTGGTTGGTTTGTTGTTTTACGCCGCACTCAGCAATATTCCAGCTGTATGGCGGCGGTCTGTAAATAATCGAGTCTGGACCAGACAATCCAGTGATCAACATCATGAGCATCGATCTGCGCAAATTGGATACGATGACATGTGTCAACCATGTCAGCGAGCCTGACCACCCGATCCCGTTAGTCGCCTCTTACGCTAAGCATAAGTTACTGAAGATAGGTTCTAACCTGAATCTTCACGGGTATGGGTGACACCAGAAATGGGCTTCACACAAAGTGTGCAGACACATCAAATCGACCACGTACCTAAGAGAGGAGTCGAACCCTGGAATGACGACAGTTCAAACCGCGATCGGGGATCAGAATGGATCAACGACATCAGCAAACCTGCAGATACAGACGGCTTATGGCCTTTTACTGTTATTTTCCTCAAATATTATGAAGAATTTCCCTGATGAAACAATTCGTGGAAGTGACGATTAGAGGAGATGCTATTGTTTCAGTACTTCAGTATCGGTTGTATCACTTGTAATCAACTTCCCCCACCTCTCTTTTCCTGCTCTCGTACCCTGTATCGGTTGTATGTATACGTTAGCACCCTCCTCAAGGGTGATATG